TATGGATAAATAAATCTTTTTTTAAAAAAAAGCAGGTGATGTTTGAATGAACAGTGATAATATGTCTTGAAGGAAAGGATTGTAATCTAATACCTAAATAGGGTCTTCAGAATTCTTCTGAGTTTGAAATCTTGACCCCCAACAATTTGCTATGTGATTTTAGGCAAATAACATTTCTTTTCTTCTCTTGCCTCGCCTGTAAAATAAACATAATGCCTATACCATAGGATTATTTAAGTATTAAATAGGTTAATATGTATGCAGGTACAGAGTAAGCTCTATATAAGTGTGCCTTAGTTTTGATTATCTAATGCTATGTAATAAACCACCCAACAATGTAATGAGTGAAAACAACACCACCACTAACCATTCTGTAGACTGAGATAAATCTTCTCAATTGTGGTCTGTCCTGCAGTAGTCAGGTGACAGGTTGGGCTAGAATAGCCAAGATGTGTGGCCCCTGATGGCCAGAAAGCTAAGCTAAACTGGACAATTGATCCTTTCCATATATTCTTTCTACATGGTTTCCAGGTAGAGTAGACAGAAAGCAAGGGCTTTCACAAGCATAAAATTTGAAGCTGCCAGACCTGGGATTGGCACATTATCACTTCTGCTGCATTCTGTTGATTAACATATGTCACAGTACCAGTTGGGGGATATGGTTCATTGGGTGTCCTTTTTGTAACCATCCTGTTATTTCTGGCCATCAAGCGCTCTATATGTATATAATTGTCAGTTTAGGCACTGGGGTGTATTATTGATCAGTTAATGCAAGCCCCTGTCTATATTTGCATCTGTATTTTACTTGATAATTAAAAATGTGTGGTGTGTTATTTGGTAACAAGGACCATGAAGAAAAACAAAGCAAGGAAAGAGATAGGAAAGATTGTGGTTTGGGAGTTGCAGTTTTAAAAATGGGTGGCCATGAAGGTTTCCTTTCTAAACTGATACTTGAGCAAATACAAAAAAGAGGAAGTTAGGAGTTAGAGGGCCAGGGGTGGGAGCTAAAACCTTTAGGAGGCTAATGCAGTTAAGAGATGGTGTAGTGCCAGCAAGGCACAGAGCAGGATCTCCATGACCAGGGCACAAAGGTAAAGGAGAGTCCTGGAGCCCTAGGTGCCTTTTCAGGCTTTTATTGGGATTTCACCAGGTACACAGCAGGTGGGGTGGCAGGGGGTGGGGGGTGGGGGGTGGGGGCAGGAAGCTGGCAGGCCTTCTAGCCCCTAGCGAATCATCACTCTTTCTGGGCTCTCTGGTGTTCTCTCGTGGTCTAGTTCTCTCTCTTCTGTTTCTCTTTATGCTCTCTCACTCGTTCCCCTTCTGGTGTTCTACTGGCCTCCTAGTGACACCGCCCTTAAAAGCCCAGTCTCAGCCCAGGTGTACCCACCTCCGTATGCCCACACATGCATTCAGGACCGCAGGGATCCATCGTTAACTCTACAGGAAGACTACGCAACTTGTAGGTTTGGGGAGATCAGGATTGGTTTTTTATTTATAAGGTTTGAAATGTCAGTTGAATGCTCCTTCCACCCTCTATGAGATGTGGCTTATTCATAAATTTCACTGATTGTTTATTGTCAACTTTGTTAGAAAAAGGTGTGAAGGTAACTTTGTTAGGGACCTGGAGGCTTTGCAGAGGTTCTGACTCATTGTAAAAGAATTTAACGAGGGCCTCCCTGGTGGTGCAGGGGTTAAGACACACCCTATGAAGCTGTCCACAGCTACTGCAACACAAGTTCGATCCCCAGCCAGGGAGCTACCCACATGGAGCAGCAGAACTCTCCTGTCTTGCCCGCTACTCCCCTCAGCAGTGTACTTCAGACAGTGTACTTAGGTCAGTGTACTTCGGATAGGTCCCCCACTCTAACTCTGGTGAATCCTCTCATCCCCTGTATCTCTGGCAGGTACCCCAGTTCTTATATGCATAAATAAATAAATTTTTAAAAAAGCAGTAAATATAAGTATGTTTAAAAAAAAGGAATTTAACGAGACCACACACTATAATCCAGACAAGGCTATGGTAGACTTAAGCTTGAACACAAGGAAGCGGTGCTGAAAAGGGACCCTTCCAGGCTGACTCTACAAAGGGAGCTAGGGGGTGGTGAGAGGATTCACCAGAGACAGAGTGGAGAGCAGAACAGGCGGATTGACTGAAATACACTGCTGAGGGGAGCAGCGGACGAGACAGGAGAGAGAGGTCTGCCATGCCATATGGGTCAGCTCCCTGGCTGGGGATTGAACTTGTGCTGCAGTAGCTGCTGATAGCTTCATAGTGCTGATGCTTAACCCCTTGTGCCATCAGGGAGGCCCCTAGGGAAGGATTTTTGAAGGATTTTTGAAGGATCTAATCAGGGTGGACTGCACTGAAGCATGTGCAGAGGGTAAGATTCAACTGAATGTTGGGCAATTCCATGTGTAAGGAAGTGATACTCAGGCTTTTACGTCTCTAGCCCCTGTGGCTATCTCCTGCGGCCTTGAATGCAGGAAGTGCTTGGGAGCTGGCATCAGGGTACACATGCCTGATGGTGGACACCTGGAGTATGGTGTGGGCCTGTGTAAGTGGGCACACCTGAGCTTGGAGGCTGAGGCTATAAGGGCAGTGTCAAACAGAAAATGGCTGTGCTGGAGAACGTTGAGAAGATGAGCGACGGCTGCTAAAGGAAGAGACCATGAGATGACACCAGAGAGAGCCCAGAGAGAGTAAAGATTTGCGGGGGGCTGGGAGGCCTGCCAGCCTCACTCTGTGCATGGCTGCTGGCATTGCAGTGGGTTCCACACTTCATATATCACATGTCACCTTAGCATCTTAAATCTCCAACCAGGGCCGCGCTATGAGACCTTGGTCACTCTAGGTCAGGTTTTTCCATCATCTGTATGGCCAGGGCCCTTGGCCGTCCCCTCTTTCCAGGAACTTGTGAAACAGTCGTTTGTCAGGATATCGCACCATTTGTCTAAATGTGTCACCTGTCGTCAGTCTAGTGGCAGAGGTTATGTAAACAAGATGTTAGGCCGTGACCTGCTGGTGCCTTACCTCGCAGCATCAGGATACTTCCCCCTTCCGTGATTGGCTGTGCTCCTTTCGGCCCAGTGCGCATGACGACCTCCGGCGCACCAAATAAGGGCATGTGCCCTTCCGGGATTAGCTGTGCTTCTTTCGGCCCAGTGCGCATGAGGGCCTCCGGCGCACCAAATAAGGTTATGTGTTTAGTCATTGGCTAGGCACTGTTGGCCTGCTTCTTCCGCTTCCGGTCCCCAGCTATAAAGCCCCGCCGAAACCGAAAGTAAAAGAGACCTGCGATAGCTGAACCAAGAGTGTGCGTGTCTCCCTCCGTGGTGTACCCCTGTTCTTCAGGTCGCTGCTCTCCCCTCGAGAACCTCGTTGACCAGTCCGCGGGCTCGGGCAACCTGCCACCTCGAGATTTAGTCCACTTGTTTAAACTGAATGTTGGGCGATTCCATGTAGGCTTGAAGTGTTTGTTTTTATACATTTCAGAAAGGACAGGTTTATCAGGAAAAGGCGAAAGAGGCACCAGCATAGTTACAGGCGGACAGGAAAGCTGCTGTCAGCTCGAAATGTCACACTTTTATATTGTCTCAACTCTGTAGCTCTTTTTCTGGAGAAAAGTTAGAAGTGAAAATTTTAATTAAATCTTACCCTTTCAATTCATGCTCTCTCTTCCCTTGATCATATATGTCTGATGTCGTTTTTGTAGAGTGCGGGGTCCTTGGGTTCATTCTGGGGAGAGGTATCCCCAGAGCTCCCGTTTCAGCGGCATGCGGCGAGTTCCCCAGGCGAGTTTCTCCACGAGATAGAGACGGTAGTTATATTTGAAGAATAGTTTTATTAGGGAAAGGGAAAGGGACAGGTTTGCTCTAAGAGGCCTGCATGGTTGCAGGCGGGCGGCCTTGAGGAGAGTGGCCTCCGCTGAGGTCAGTGAAGAGACGTCCCGGCATGGAACAGGTCACTGTTAGCCAGAAAGCTGCTGCCCTGCGGAGGGTGAGAGTTGGTGAAAAGAAGCACCTGCATCGTCACAGGTGGGCAGTGGGAGTGCTGCCCCGAGCCTGTGCGGAGACTGCACTGATATAGTCCTCTTCTCTTTGGGAGGGATCACTGCTCCGTGGAGTAGCCTGCTTGTTGCTGATGTTGGGTAACAGGCAAAACTAGAAAGGGACCAGAGATTCCAGGGTGGGCCCACTCTCCATATCTTTATCCTCAGGCCTGTGCTCTACTCCCTGTAGCATCTGATCCTGCTTGGGTCTCCTGCCTTGTGATTAGACACTGGTGCCTAAGAGTCCAACCTCTATAGCTGGGTTAATGATCATGTTATTCCCCTCGACCCCCACCTCCTTGTGTGAGTCAGGTTTTAGTCTCCTTAGGCCTCCCTCCAGTCTTTCTATTCTTGTCCTCCATCATGTCCACCTTGGTTTAACCCGTTTTGTATTTAGTTCCTATGTTCCTATACTCTTTGGGGTTGGCGTACTTTGAAAACTGCTTTGTCTCATGCTATTTTGACTCTCCCTTGCCTGTGGTCCCTTGCTGGGACGTGCTCCAACTTGTTGCAGAGGTTTTCCTTGCCAGCCTCTTGGAATCTTAAATCTATTAATCCTGTTAATTCCCCCAGTTCTGCATATCTCTTCCAGGGGGTGCTCTTGAGTATTATCTAAGAGGGGAGGAATAATGAAAACCCATCTGATCTCCACTGGGGTGATAATGATTGTAAATTTGACTTTCAGGGCAAACAGTTTACTCATTATCACCGGTGTGGGGGCTGGAGCATGCCCGAACCTGTTTCTGTTTCAGGCTTCACCTGAAGGCAGCATAGGTGGTTCTTACTCTTAATTGTGTGCTTGTGGTTCTTGCAGAATCAGGCAGTGTCAAGAACTTCATCATGGGTGTATTACATTGTGTGGGTGCCCTGATACATTTTTTACTATAACTGCACAGTGGAATGCCAAAGAGAGAATTTTTATTTTAGAAAACATAATTCTTTTCTTTTTAGACTTATTAGCAAACTGCAAATTCTTCACTGCCAAAATGACATCATTTCCCACCTCTGCCCAGTGTTCAACGTCTGACAGTGCTTGCAGGATCTCTCCAAAACAAGTTAATCAGGTAAATCATTTTTAGGCATTTCTATTTTCCTTTAAGTTTTTAAAAATTGAAATGGGGCATGTAACTAAAAATCCTGACTGACTCTAGGATTTTTATGCAGAGCCGAAATGATTATTTTTTAAAATGTCATGCTAGGAAAAGAGTAAACAGTATCAACATCCATAAATTTGAATTGGTCACTGATGAAATATTTGGAGGTTATGGATTGCTCAGTAGTACCTTTTGAAAATTAGCATATTTTAGGGTATGGGTGACTAGTGGAGAATCTGAGGCTGTTAAATTAATTTCCTGTTTGCGTTACTTCGCTGTTTTTTAATCAGTTTTAATTATAAGTATGTTAGGGAGAAAGTCCCTTTTAAGTGCGCAGGTGAGGACCCACAGCCAGGCAACCCGTTTTATATCAGGGCTGCCCCGTAACAAGTATAGCAAATGTATTCTAAAAAATTACTCTATTTTATCGTGTATTTGTCTGTATTTGTCTGTACATAAAGATTCCTTTGACCACCTCCTCCCTAACTCCAGAGTCCCTTCTCCTTTATCTAACATTGATATTAATTTGGTGTGTCTTGTTCCACACCTTTTTCTCCAACATACAGAAATACATAATTTTGTTACATGTTTTCATGAACGTTGCACAATGGGTAGTATTGTGTGTCTTAATCTATGGTAAAGGTAGAATTTGGATTTGATGAAGGTAATATGTGCCTTATATAAAAAATGGTTTTGACATAAGTCTGTTATGAATAATGCTGCTGTGAACATTGGTGTACAGTTGTTTACATACCTGCTTTCAGTTCTTTTGGATGTAAAACTGGGAGGACCTCCTGGGTCATATGGAAATTGTATGTTTAGCTTCTTGAGGAATTGCCACAATTTTCCAGAGCCATTTTACATTCCCACCAACTTAGAGCATAAGTTCTCTCAATCCTCACATCTTTACCCGTATAGCCATCCTAGTGATTTTTCAGTAAGGTAACAAGTAGTAATTCTGATCATTGGCAGTTAGCTTATGCACTGGAAGATTGGGCATTAATAGATAAGTATCTACTAGGGTTTGTTGAAAAAGGTTTTAAAAGATTTCTTGCTCTGTAGGGCTTCAGAATTCAATCTAATTGAAATGTAAATGGGTTTATTTTTTATTTATATCAGGTACGACCAAAATTGCCACTTTTGAAGATTTTGCAGGCAGCAGGTGCACAAGGTGAAATGTTCACTGTTAAAGAGGTAAGCCATCGTGGAAAGGTTTCAGTTTTAAAAGAGCTGAGCAGTAGAAGCTAGTGAGTATGTGGTTCTGAGATCAAGCCTCAGAAAGGAAGTTCTACTCCAGGAGTTCTATGGAAGCATTTTTTTCTTCTTTTAAAGCCCATTGAGCAAAGTTGAACTTCATATTTCCTTTAAATTTCCTTTTGAACTATACTGTCAGCTAAGCAAGATTAACCATGAAGTTCATTGATCTCAAGAGTTAAAATGCAGAACATGTACAAGATTTAAAAAATGACACTGTGATTTAGAGGATGTGCTGCCAGGCAGGGATTAAATGCAGTGGTTTTTCATTATAAATGTGTCAAATACTCTTCTGAGCACTGTGAATTATTTTAAACATTTATTTATTTAAATAACTTATTTAGCTCCTAAGGTGTTTTTTTTTTTTTTTTTTTTTTAACAAAAAACAAATTGAATCCTTTAAGTGGAAAAGACTGCATATTAAAATGTTAAACTTTATCAATTGCTTGCATTTATTTAATAGAGTAAATATCTAACCCTTCCCAAATATACCAGGGTTTTTTTGGACTTTCCCTAAAAGTCTTAACAGCTTTCAGTAATGCTGCATTCCTGAGCCATTATGCCTCTTAAAGAAACAAAACTGGAGGCATTTCAGATTTTATAGAGTACTCATATTGACTTCATCATTTTGAAGTAAGTGTGCCATTTTGGACTGTATATCTCAAATTCTGATGAGTAAGGCTTTTTCCAAACTTGTTAAAACTTATAAAGTTGTTAAAATCGATTATGCTATTTTCCTTCATAACATGACATAATGTTTTACTGAAGAAAAACCTGGACACAGTCTGTTTCTATCATGAGTGCTGACTGCATAAAGGGAATTTGCCAATTTAAAAACTTTACTGGTTTTTAGTATGTGTATTCAGGCAGGTATGATATAAGAATAGTGTATTACATACATATTAGAATAGTGTTTTAGAAGATCTTTGTATCCTTAAAGGGTATTTATTTTTTTCTGAACGCTAGACAGACATAAAGTTTCCTCCCTTTTCTTCCAGTAGATGCTCTTCCCCATCCTGTTTTTTCTAGGTAATTGATGAGTGTTGTATTTTCACTGACATATGTTGTCTGAGATGGAGGGGACCCTAGAAATACTGTACCAATATAATGGGACCAGTGTTAGAAAAACTTCTGTTCAAATATCTAAAATTCCTGAGAAGTTGGGACCTAAAGATAATTGCTGCCTTGGTCTTCAATTAAAGATAATTGCTGCTTTAGGGGCCTCCCTGGTGGTGCAAGGGGTTAAACACCACACTATGAAGCAGTCTGCAGCTTCTGCAGCACAAGTTCGATCCCCAGCCGGCCAGGGAGCAACCCACATGGCGCAGCAGACCTCCCCTATCTCGCTGCTCCCCTCAGCACTCTGCCTGTTCTGTTTGGTCAGTCTGCCTGTTCTGTTCCCCACTCTGTCTCTGGTGAATCCTCTCAACCCCTGGCATCTCTGGCTTATACCCCAGCTATTCTATGCATAAATAAATAAATTTTTTTAAAAAAAGCTAATTGCTGCTTTATACTGCTGATGGCATATTGAACATTGTACTTTATTTCCCCCACTCCCCCACTGAAATGAACACATATCAAATGCCTATGGTTTTATGCCCTTGGACTTGGAAAATACTTTTCTGATCAAGCAAATTTAAAGTTACTACTTCTATTTAGACTTGGGAGAAAATTTTTGAGGGAATGCTGGGTGAAATTCACCACTTTTTTTCTTGTCAGACCAGTACACTTCTGTTCTAGAAAGTAATGGTTTGTTCTCTGGAATTTCATTACGACTAAACCCCCACTCCAAAAAATACTACAAGGAATCCTAAAGCCAGAACCTCAGAAGGATGAATAACAATGAAAGAAGGCCAAAAAAAAAAAAAGTTATTAAAAGAATAAATAAAATCAAAGGAAAGACAAACACAATGGCAAATACAAATGCTAACATATCAATATTATCTCTAAATGTAAATGGACTAAACTCTTCAATAAAAAGACACAGAGTTGCAGCCTGGATTAAGAAACAAAACCCAACCTTTTGCTGTCTCCAGGAAACACATTTAGCTACAAAAGATAAAAATAGGCTCAAAGTTAAAGGATGGAAAACAATCCTACAAGCAAATGGACCAAAAAAGAAAGCAGGAACAGCTATACTTATATTAGATAAAACAGATTTCAAACTCAAAAAAATAAAAAGGGATCCCAATGGTCACTACATCATGATCAAGGGGACAATACTTCAAGAAGAAATAACACTCATTAACATATACTCACCAAACGAAGGAGCACCAAAATATATCAGACAACTGTTGTCCTCTCTGAAAACAGACATCAGAGAAAACACATACGTCGTGGGAGACTTCAACACACCACTATCAACAATGGATAGATCAACAAGACAAAAAATAAGTAAAGAAACTAAAGCTCTAAATAAGGACCTAGAGCATTTGGGCTTAACAGACATCTATAGAACACTAAACCCCAAAAAACGGAGTACACATTTTTCTCAAGCGCACATGGATCATTCTCCAGGATCGATCACATACTGGGGCACAAGACAAACATCAACATATACACCAAGATTGAAATCATATCAACCATCTTTTCTGACCATGAAGGCATCAAACTAGAAATAAACCATAAAAAGAAGGCAAGGAACTTTCCTACCTCATGGAGATTAAAAACCACACTACTGGAAGACCACTGGACTAATGAGGAGATCAAAGAAGAAATTAAAAAATTCTTTGAACTGAATGACAAGGAGGACACCAATATCCTAAATGTATGGGATGCAGCAAAAGCAGTAATAAGAGGAAAATATATAGCAATAGAAGCTCACATCAAGAAACAAGAAAGAACTCAAAGAAACAACCTAATCTCGAAGCTCAAAGATCTAGAAAAAGAACAACAAAAAAAACCCAAAACCAGTAGAAGAAAAGAAATAATAAAAACCAAAGCAGAAATAAATGAAATTGAAACTAAAAAAACAATCCAAAAGATCAATGAAACCAAGAGCTGGTTCTTTGAAAAAAATCAATAAAATAGACAAACCCCTAGCCAGGCTCACAAAGGAAAAAAGGGAGAAAGCACAAATAAACAGGATCACAAATGAAAGAGGAGAAATCACAATGGACACAGCAGAAATCAAAAGAATAATCAGTAACTACTATGAACAGTTATATGGAAACAAGTTCAACAATCTAGAGGAGATGGACAAATTCCTACAACTCTACAATCACCCAAAGCTAGATAAAGAAGAAATAGAAAACCTAAACAGACCAATTACAATTAGCGAAATTGAAATGGTAATCAAAAACCTCCCCAAAAACAAAAGCCCAGGACCTGATGGATTTACAAATGAATTCTACCAAACATTCAGAGATGAATTAGTGCCTATCCTTCACAAACTCTTTCAAAAAATTGAGAAGGAAGGGACAATACCAAACACGTTCTATGAAGCCAACATTACACTAATACCAAAACCAAACAAGGACAACACAAAAAAGGAAAACTACAGGCCAATCTCCCTAATGAACACTGATGCAAAAATCCTCAATAAAATTTTAGCTATCAGAATCCAACAATGTGTCCATAAGATAATTCACCACGACCAAGTAGGATTCATTCCAGGGACACAAGGATGGTTCAACATCCGAAAATCAATCAACGTTATCCAACACATCAACAAAAAGAAATATAAAAACCATATGATAATATCAATAGATGCTGAGAAAGCTTTCGACAAAGTGCAACACCCATTCATGATAAAAGCCCTTGAAATTCTTGGGATACAAGGAACATACCTCAACATCATAAAGGCTATTTATGACAAGCCAACAGCCAGTATCATTCTCAATGGTGAAAAGCTGAAAGCAATTCCATTAAGATCTGGAACAAGACAAGGATGTCCACTCTCACCACTGTTCTTCAATATAATACTGGAAGCCCTAGCCAGAGCAATAAGACAAGAGAAAGACATCCAAGGAATCCAAATAGGAAAAGAAGAAGTCAAACTATCACTGTTTGCAGATGATATGATAATATACATAGAGAACCCCAAAAACTCCACAGAAAAACTAATTCAACTCATCAATCAGTTCAGTAAAGTGGCAGGATACAAAATCAACACGCAAAAGTCAGTAGCCTTCCTATACACAAACAATAAATCTGAAGAAGAAGAAATCAAAAAAAACATCCCTTTTACTATTGAAACAAAAAAAATCAAATATTTGGGAATAAATCTAACAAAAGAGGTAAAGGACCTATACAAAGAAAACTATAAAACACTGTTAAAAGAAATAGAAGAAGACACAACGAAATGGAAAGACATCCCCTGCTCATGGATTGGAAGAATAAACATTATTAAAATGGCCATCCTACCAAAAGCAATCTACAGATTCAATGCTATTCCAATCAAAATTTCAATGTCATTCTTCAAAGAAATAGAACAATTATTGATGAAATTCATATGGAATCACAAAAAACCCCGAATAGCCAAAGCTCTCCTGAAAAAAAAAAGAAGGGAATGGAGGCATCACACTCCCAGACTTCAAACTCTACTACAAAGCCATAATCATCAAAACTGCATGGTATTGGAACAAGAACAGACACACAGACCAATGGAATTGAATAGAAAATCCAGAAATAAACCCACAGATTTATGGTCAACTAATCTTTGACAAAGGAGCAAAGACTATGCATTGGAGCAAAGAAAGTTTGTTCAATAAATGGTGCTGGGAAAACTGGGTCGCTACATGCAAAAGAATGAAGCTTGACCACTACCTCACACCATACACAAAAATCAATTCAAAATGGATTAAAGAACTAGACATAAAACCTGAAACCATAAAATATATAGAAGGAAATATAGGCGAAACACTACGTGATTTGCACATCAAAGACATCTTTACAGACACATCACCCAAAGCAGTGACAGTGAAGGCAAAGATAAACAGCTGGGACTACATCAAATTAAAGAGCTTCTGTACAGCAAAAGAGACAATAACAAAAACAAAGAGAAACCCCACCAACTGGGAGAACATTTTTGCACACAACACTAACGATGAAGGATTGATCAAAAAAAATCTACGAAAAGCTGATGAGACTCAACAACAACAAAGAAAATAATCCAGTCCAAAAATGGGCAGAAGAGCTAAAATGAAACTTCTCTGAAGAGGAAATGCAAATAGCCAACAATCATATGAATAAATGTTCAACATCCCTTGTAATCAGGGAAATGTAAATAAAAACTACCATGAGATACCATCTTACACCAGTGAGAATGGCACATATTAAAAAAATTAGCAACAACAAGTGTTGGCGAGGGTGTGGAGAAAAAGGAACTCTTCTGCACTGTTGGTGGGAGTGCAAACTGGTCCAACCACTATGGAGAGCTGTGTGGAGATTTCTGGACCTACTAAACATAGAGCTTCCATAGGATCCAGCAATTCCACTCCTAGGTATTTACCCAAAGGACACAGAAACATCAATTCCAAAGAGCACCTGCACCCCTATGTTTATAGCAGCACTGTTTACAATAGCTAAGCTTTGGAAACAGCCCCAATGCCCAAAAATAGATGACTGGATTAAGAAGATGTGGTACATATATACCATGGAATATTACTCATCATTCAAAAAAGATAAACACATGCCATTTGCAGCAACATGGATGGCGCTGGAAGGGATCATGCTCAGTGAAATAAGCCAAAAAGAAAAAGAAAAAGACCGGATGGTCTCACTCATAACAGGAATCTAGAAAACTTAAATAAGGGACCAGAAAAATGAATAACTATAAGAAAGCGAAAATCAAAATCAACAAAAAACTATGAACCAGAGGCACTTTTTGGGGGGTGAGGGGCGGGAGGGGAGGGATTGGGGTCAGAATGGGTGGTTGCAATTGTATGGGGAATATAAAAATAAAATTTATTATTTAAAAAAAAAAAGAAAGAAAGAAAGTAATGGTTTGTTAATGTCCAGAATGATAATAAGTGAATGAGTCTAGTTGGGGGCAACTCTCTTGCTGTAGGACACTTTACACAGCACCGCCATGCATGTGTGTTTTAGGCAGCAGCTGGACAGGTTTCTTCATGGTATTTTATTCCCATGCAGGTCTTGCACTATCTTGGCAAGTATATAATGGCGAAGCAGCTCTATGATCAGCAGGAACAGCACATGGTATACTGTGGTGGGGATCTTTTGGGAGAACTACTTGGACGTCAGAGTTTCTCCGTGAGAGAGCCAAGGTAAGAAGATTGAGGGTTTATCTTTTTGGGCATTTATACCTCACCACTTAATCTCTTTAGGTTATAATGGTAATGACTATTTATTTCTCTGGTCAACAAATATTTAAGAGCCTACATCTGTCAGGTGGCCTCTAAGACACTGAGAATTTAACAGTGAGCAACAGTTTCTCATTTTAAGGGTCTTAAAAGAGTTGTATGAGACAGGAGATGCTCTCCTCCTTATCATTCTATTGCTTTCCAAGCTATACTATGAACAATGTTTCAGAAAGAAGGTACATTTTGTGGGGTGGAATATAGGGTTTTTTAGGGGGTAGAAGTGCTGGTTGAGGAAGTGCTGTTTGTGCTGATAGCTGAAGGGTAGTTAAAGTGTCAGTTGCGGGGAATGGTTGAAGGAGAACTTTAGGCAGATTGAGCATCACATGTATGTGTCTGGGTAGGAGGGAATTTGATGTGACTAGATTATAATTTTGTGAAATAGTTGTAGAGAAGGGAAGAGTGAATTGATGAAAGAAATGTAGACTTGCTGGGCACTTTGAGGTTGATGAAGAGCTTCCTGAGAATCACAGTAGAACTACTCTGACCTGCTGTGTGACTTTCTCCAGGTGCATAGGGTATGTGGTTATTAACACAGTGACAAGGTAATTAATAATTGAGAATCCAGTCTTCTCTTTCACTCTATAGCTTTGTGATGACTGTTTCTTCTCAGCTCCTTTTGTCTTATTTTGGTAGACTCCCTTCCACTCCCAGTCCCAATTATAATGTAAAACTTAAGTCCTAGAAGGAAGGGATTGTCTTGTAAGGAAATCTCCCTACTTGTGTTACTGTTGTTATTAATAAAATTAAATGTAAATTAGTTTTTTAATGGTCACAAAATAATACAAGGGCTTGGGCATTACATCTTGATATTTAAATAATTCTTAGATTCTGAGAAATCTGTTCTGTGGAAAACACAGAATACATACATTATAGGGAAAGTTGGGAAATAGCATATCAGAAATATACTTAAAATTTTAATGGAGAGCCATATTCACTTTTTTTTTTAATTTCTCACAGCCCACTCTATGATATGCTAAGAAAGAATCTTGTCACTTTAGCCACCACTACTACAGGTACGTCGCATCATATTTCTTTATTCTGTGTCACAGCTTTGAGTTCAAGGGGGCAAATGATGGGAAAGCAGAGCAGGACCAAGATGGGCATGGAAGGCCATCAGGGCGCGACTGGGAGGGATGGCTTGTGCAGTTGGTTACTGCTGTGTTATTTAACTTTCCAGTTAATCCTGAAAATAGATTAGTATCATTAGTACCCTCCTTTTAGACTTAGTGATTGTTAACATTTTGCCATATTTGCTTCACCTATACATACTTTTAAATTCCACCATTACTGTAACATTATTACATGCAACAAAATTAATAATGATAAATAACTCCATAATACTGTCCAATAGCCATTTTATGTATAGTTTCTCTCAGTTTCCTCAGAAACATCTTTTACATTTGAGTTGTTTAAATCCAGATTTAAACAAATTTCTTATGTTGCATTTGGCTGACATGTCTTTTAAGTATCTTTTATCTCTAAAACTTAACCCCCTTTTGTTTTTGTATCATTTATTGAAGAAATGGATTATTTTTTCTTTAGAATTTCCAGCATTTTAGAGTTTGTAGATCGTACCCTTGTGGTGATGTTTTATGTGTTTAGCACTTCTCTTTTGAATGCCAACTTGTCTAACCTTTTGCTTGATTCCATACTTTTAAGTACTGCCTTTTGAGTTTAACTTACTAGGTATTGCAGGGAACTGCTTTTGGGTCTGAAGTGCAGTGTATTAGAGATCAGTGAATAAAGTGGACATGACTAAATTGTAACTATCTCACACTTATTTCCAAGTAATGAAACTTTTTGTTTTCCTGTTCCTACATGAAACCCTTGTATGGATTTCAAATTAGATTCTCGGGAACATTGTCCTTTGGAGAAAGCCCAAGCTTGTGATCCCTATTGATTGGCTATCTTTCAGTAGTTTCCTGAAACAAATAGGTTGAAAAGAATTTGTTCCTAATGAAGATTTATGCTTTAAAGTGAGAGTAAAGAAACTACTTTGATATTGAAATATGATTTTGAACTTACAATGAATTTTGGAACTGCTTAGTTTCATTGACAATCTACCTGTGTTACCCAGTTATAAATTTCTGTTTGAGGGGGAAGGCAATCACTTGTGAAATAGTGTGGTTTACAGGGATTGTCACTAAAAACTTGAAATAAACAGAGGATTTTATATTTGCGCATCTACTCTTTTTCTCAGATTTGTTCTGATCTGTTGTCTGAATATCCAGAGGAGATATAACTCTTACCCTCTCATTTTCTTTCTTTTACTTCATTTGCAGAATTTAACATGCTGTATATTAAAACCAACATTTCTATAATAAGTATTTCAGTCGATCCTCTTAACAACCTTGTGAGAAAGGTCTGGAAATGGAGACACTGAGGATTTTTTTTAATTAGATAAATGGTTTGCTTAAGATCAGCTGCCACTGATGAGTAGTGGTGCATCTGTTTCTGAATGGGCAGTCCTTGCTCTTTTCATCATTCTTTTTTTTTTTTTTTTTTAATTATTTATTTATACAAGCACTGGGTACAGTCAGAAGTGCGGGAGGGTGAAAGAATTCACCAGAGCCAGAGCTGGGAACAGAACAGACAGACTGACGAAATACACTGCTGAGGGGAGCAGTGGGCGGGACAGGAGAGGTCTGTCGCGCCATGTGGGACCCTCGCCAGCGGCCGGGGATCTAACCGGCACTGCAGAGGCTGCGGGCAGCTTTGTAGCCCAGCGCTCAACTGCTGCGCCACCAGGGGAGGCCCTCTTTTCATCATTCTTTAATGTCCCTTTAACCTTTTTTTTTTTTTAAAGATTTGTTTATTTAGGCACAGAAGAACTGGGGTATAGGCCAGATGGGTGGGAGGCGGTGAGAGGATTCATCAGAGATGGAGTGGGGAGCAGAACAGGTGGATCTACTGAAATACATTGCTTAGGGGAGCAGTGGGCAAGACAGGAGAGGTCTGCTGCGCCATGTGGGTAGCTCCCTGGCTGGGGATTGAACTCAGGCCCCAGCAGAGATAGTGCTGAGACTAACCCCTTCGTCACCAGGGAGGCCCCCTAGCTCTTGCTTGTAATGGAAAGAATTTCCCTCCGTTTTCAACACATTTTTTTCATAATGTTAATTCTTCAAAACATTTTGTTATTTAATTTGTCACTTTGAGATAATTTTATTTACAAAAAAGTTGCTAAAAAGTATTATAAAGAGTTGCATATACTCTTTACCCAGATTCCCCAAGTGGTGACATCTTTATATAACCATAGTACAATGATTAAAATTAGGGAATTGCCCCAAAGTAATTTTGATTGATTGTTTGCTCTTACTTGGACGTGCATTGGTTGACATTGCTTCCCATGTCACCTGTTTTACACCATTAAAAAATAAGTTAAAGCTTTTATTTTATGGCTGAAGAAAATGCCATTATTTAAAGTTAAGGTAGTTCTTTATAAAATTATTTCTCTAATTTTTTTTATAATTCTTTATTTTCCACATGTATACTAAAGCAATGAAAAAAAAACGGTGAACCTTATATTAATTTAATTAATTAATTAATTATTTTTTAATAGAGGCATGTTTTATTTATTTGTTTGTTTGTTTTGTTTATACATGCACTGGGTCAGTCAGAAGTGCAGGAGGGTGAGAGAATTCACCAGAGCCAGAGCGGGGAGCAGAGCAGGCAGAAGGACTGAAGTACACTGCTGAGTGTACTGCTGAGGGGAGCAGCGGGCGCAGGAGAGGTCTGCGTGCCATGCGGGACCCTCCTCCGGTGGCCGGGGAGCAGCCGGGGTTCGAACCGGCACCGCAGAGGCTGCGGGCAGCTTCACAACCCAGTGCTCAACCGCTGCACCACCAGGGAGGCCCAAACCTTATTTTAAAATCCCTTTGTACATTATCTGTTTCACCCAGATTTATTTTGTTTCTAATTGTTTTAACCTAGGAAGATTGTAAGGCTGTTGAGCTATAAAGGATAA